CTCTTGTGGTATGATTGAGCATTTCTTGGGTATATGCCCAGGAGTGGTATAGCTGGATCTTGGGGGGGGGGCTGTTTTCCTTCCTTCCTTTTCTAAACCTTGGGAAGAATTATTTTCCCTCTTTGACTCCTGAGAAGGGGGTGGCAGAGAAACTGGGTGAAAAGGTACCTTAAGGGCTGTGATAGTGGGGTAGAAGCCCAGGGGTGGCAGTGTGCCAAAATGTTTCTCCATTTCTCTTGCCAGATACATGCAGAGACATGTGTCCATGTAGTTCTGAATCTAAGCAGGCTGACAAGGAAGATCAACCATCACATCATCCCTGCCCCATTCTGCCCCATGGACTGTGTATCAAAGAGCCAGGGTATGAGCAAAGGAGTGGGTCAGTCTAGTCTGCCGCTGGTAACTTTCTGAAGCCTGCATCTGCCATGGGGCAGCCATGTCCTTTTCTGACCATCAAGGACAATGTGTTTCTTTGTTCATAGGAAGGTATTAAGAGCCAGGTGTGGGAAAAATGAAGGCAGGGCAAGAGGTCTCAAGGAGAAGCCAGGCCTGCTATATTAATGAGGCCCTGTGTCAAAACTTTTTTTAAAAATTAAGAAGATATTAAGCTAGTGGCCATTATGCAATCAATTGTTGGGTCTTGAGACTTTGCTCCCTACATCCTGTTCTTTCAATAAACTGCTTTTCTTGGATTCAGTAGAGACCAACTTCACCCTAAGTAGGTGTCTTGTTGTAACAGAGCATACAGTAGCAAGCACCGGCAGCAAAATTGTATGAATTTGGCATTACAGACCAACCAAACTTTAGATGTGTTGAAACGGTGGGATTCTTAGGCCTGCTAAACATTATTAACTTTCAACATCATTCTAAGCTGTGAATATGATGAGGTGGAAGGTTCTTACAGCATGTGTCAAGTTCTTAGATGCTTTAGAATTCACAATAAGATGAAGTCCACAAGATCTAACTTATCAGCCCTATATAGACACATGAGTTATACCAGAGTGACTGCCAAGTTCTGACATAACAGCAAAACCAGAATATGTTAGAGCAACACAGATTTAATGACTCTTTTGCTTAAAAGTGTGAGTTTCCAAAATATCACAAGATTGTTTTACACTTGACTCGGCCTGCATGCAGTAGCTCATCTAGAACATTCCTGATGGTCTCAACACAAACTTCTCCTCTGTGGTGTTTTTTTGATGCAAGATTCCATACATTTTCAAATTCTTCTTCAGAAAGCTTGACTCCAATGTTAGTTAATATATCTGAAATCTAGAAACAATGAATTTAAGGCCAAAGATTTGTGATTTTAATTTTGTATTTTAAAAAATTAAGTAAGATAAAATTTATATTTTAAAAACTTTATAACATTTAATAAATGGACACTGATCCTCCCTCATAGTATATGTGTTCACATATGCATATGTGCCTATACACATAAAATGAGAAGGTATCAAAATTCCAGTACTTTGTAGGCATGGGGGGAGTGCATTCCCATAGCCCTAGCACTTGGGAGGCTTACATAGAAATGTTGAAGTTCGAAGCCAGCCTGTGCTGTGGGATGTTCTGTATGGCAAATGTGTTACTCTGATTGGTCAATAAATAAAACACTGATTGGCCAGGGGCTAGGCAGCAAGTATAGGCAGGACTAACAGAGAGGAGAAAAGAAAGAACAGGAAGATAGAAGGAGTCACTGCCAGCCACTGCCAAGACAAGCAGCATGTAAAGATGCCGGTAAGCCACGAGTCATGTGGCAAGATATAGATTTATAGAAATGGATTAATTTAAGCTATAAGAACAGTTAGCAAGAA